ATTTGTTCCAGGTAAATAATATCATCACTCATACCAGTAGAAGTAGAGCAATTGTATTAGAGAAACAAGTGCAAGTACTAATACGAATTTTGTGTATTAGAGAAACAGGTGCAAGTACTAATACAAATTTTGTGTATTAGAGAAACAGGTACAAGTACTATTACGAATTTTGTGTATTAGAGAAACAGGTGCAAGTTCTAATACGAATTTTAGTGTATTAGAGAAACAGGTGCAAGTTCTAATACAAATTTTATGTATTAGAGAAACAGGTGTAAGTTCTAATACAAATATTGTGTATTAGAGAAATGGGTGCAAGTTCTAATACGGATTTTGTGTATTAGAGAAACGGGTGCAAGTTCTAATACGGATTTTGTGTATTAGAGAAACGGGTGCAAGTTCTAATACGAATTTTGTGTATTAGAGAAACGGGTGCAAGTTCTAATACGAATTTTGTGTATTAGAGAAACGGGTGCAAGTTCTAATACGAATTTTGTGTATTAGAGAAACAGGTGCAAATACTAATACGAATTTTGTGTATTAGAAAAACAGGTGCAAGTACTAATACACATTCTGTGTATTAGAGAAACAGGTGCAAGTACTAGTATGAATTTTGTTTTTTGAGGGACAGAGGAAGTTATATTTCAGTTACAAGATTAGTGAAAGTACAAATGATATCAACAATTACCATCATCTTTCCAAATATCAGGATCAGACACCTGTCGATTAAGCTGTGGTTCCTTAGTAGTTCTCTCTTCATGGTATTTTTTCTTCTTCTTTAAGTTAGATGCTTTTCTCAATGCTCTCAGGCGATTTTTTTTCCCACTAACAAATCTTCTTTGGCACCTACAAAGAAAGCACATCTTTTTTCTTAATCTTCTAAAAACATTGACAAGATTAAAGAAGGTTTTAAAATCTGTAATATCAAAGTCAGAAAATGTATCCTAAGAAAAGCAAGTCCATATTTATCTCCTAATAACATTATCAAGATGTGTTAAAACAAGGCACACACTTTGTTTCATTGAGAGCAGTCAATTCTTCATCAGACCATTTTGTTAAAAACTAAGCCTAAAGATTATTTCTAAATCATGTCAAAGGTAGTCAGTATGTTACATGAAAAGTGGGTTTATCTTTCACAATATGCATAATCCATAAAATTATAATGAAAATAACTTTTAAAATTTATCAATCACATCATCTTTCAAAGACCCTTTAACAAAATGAAATTAATTTTAAAAATTATTACTTAATTAGTCAGTATTTAAATATTCCTTTAATAAAACCACTTATATTGAAGATGATTTCAAAACTTGTCTGTATTTCCAGGCATTGTACTATTAAAGATTATCTCATTAGCATTTACATTCTTATTTTAATCTGATACAGGGTTAAAAAAAACAGACTTAAGAGAACTGTTCAAAATTATATGGTCAACATTTCAAATTCAAACAACCTGATGAAACTTTTCACACACTGACCCTAAGAAAAAATTTTTGAGCCAACACATCAACTGTATTATATTTCAGTTATACGTTTACACATCAACTGCACCGTATTATATTTCAGTTATACGTTTACACATCAATTGCACCGTATTATATCTTAGTTATACTTTTAGACATTTAGGAAAGTTTGTACCCTCTAACCTCTTTAATTAATATCATAAAGACTGATGCTGAGCTACAAGCTTTAGGCCAATATAGTTACTTGTTTGATTTTCATACACATGGGGATAAAATTACCATTTTCTTTAACTAAAAATCTCTTTCTGATAAACACACACTTCCGAACACAGAATAGCTTATTTTTCTCTCGAGTTTGCATGAGCTGCCAGAGATTTGTAAGCCATCAGCCTTGTGAAAACTCCCACCTAATATCACATGAACAGATTTTGATTGCAGAAGGATGAGGAAGATAAGGTTATTACAAAAAGGATCAATGAAGTTATTTGTAACACTGGCCTACTTGAAAATTATGATGTATCATAGCTATATATGTGGGGTGACACACACTATAATCTGGTCACACCAGCCCCAATGGAAAGACCCAAACCAGTGAGGATTCTCCATGGTCCACCACACCAGTAGCTAGTAACTGGCAGGTGGCAAGGGGAGACCCACAAAATGTGTCCAGATCCCCATTGGTCCTTCAATCTGGAAAGGTCTTTTACTGAAGACAGTACAATGGGTGACTGTGAAACCCTATTTTTCAAAGCTAGTAAGCACTAGCTAAAGAAGTGGACAGATATATTACTCTGATGCTGGCTTTTTCCATTACAGTCCATGGAATAGGTACAGTCTGAGTCAGACTTGAAATGTGATACAGATATATATTAAAATACCATAAGGAGACCTGAAGTGGTCTTATAGAACACAGTGGGCATGGTAAGAGGAAACTTGAAAGAGCTGATGGTAATCCAACATCAAAGAGAGGTAAACCAAACAGATGAGCTTATGGATCCATCTTGTAAGGGTGGAGGGAGAGAGGTCTCTGGTAGAGAAGAGGTCCCAAGAAATGAAAAGATGGTGATGAAAGTGTGAGATAAATAATGAACGGCCCATACAAGATATAGGAGTCTGTTTGGGTCAGAAAGATCATCGATATGAGATATATAATGAAGAAATATGGGAGAGATTGTGCCCACCTTCCATAGCAGTGTAAGTCTTTGGAAGAAAAGTGTGTCCACTTTCTCTAGCAGTGTAAGTATTTGGAAGGAAAGACCAGTCGGGGTAAAGAAGGTAAGTGCAGTGATAGAGAGTTTGGGAGGAATAAATTACATAGATGTAAGAACGATGATGACTACAAGCAAGCAGAAGGAAATATGTTTGAGAGAGAAAATAATATAGTGAGCAAGTGGCAAAAGGTTTGAAAGGGTCCCAGGTGAAAGCTTGAAGAACGACATTCAGGTTCCAGTTGGACAAGGTCGTACAATGAGGTTTGAGGATTCGGATGGAAAAGAAGAGAGTAATAAGGATAGGTGAAAAAAAAAAAATTGTGCAGTATTAGGAAAGGCAGAATGTTGTAGATAGTACTGTTCAATAACCCTCAATGGTAGAGACAGGCAAGCCACGTAAATAAGGAGGTAAGGTGTTGTAAGTTAGGTTGGTCAGGTGAAGGATAGACCAACCATTTACAGTGGTTGGTATGCAGAAGTGGAAGGGTGACAAGAGTGACACATAAAGAGAGCAGCAAAAGAGAATAGCCCTGCTTGATGAGCAATGCACTGGACAAATCCCATGGATGAAGATGAATGACATGTGCAGTTGGACCAGAAGGGACAGAATGTTGGGAAAAGGAAGTGGACTTGGCTGAGAGAGAACAGAGTTATGAAAATCCAATATTGGGCAGGCTGGTAAGCAGTTACCAACATGACTCTGCAAGGGGTATCCTGAATCAGAGCAAATACCTGAGGAAGGAGGCATAGTGAATGATAGGCAAAAAGGAAAAGATCAGATTAGTCATTACTGAGAGCATTGTCAGCAAGGGCTGAAGGATGAGGTATGGGAGATCAAAAGATAGGAAGTTTGGTATTAAGGCATCTAGGAAAGGAGTTCTGACTTGGGAGCAGATCCAATGGAAAATTTGAGGATAAAGGGACTATTCCATGAGTAAGATGTGGTCTCAACAAGAAAGACAGTCTGTGTTCTGATTATAGTTGTAGAATGTCTTTAGTATGTCATGTTCCATGTGTTCTGATTATAGTTGTGGCTCTGACTATAGTTGTAGAATGTCTTTAGTATGTCATGTTCCATAATGGAACATGACATACTTTTAAACCACCCTCAACTTTAGACCAGAAGGAAGGGGGAGCGAGTAGAAGGGATTGAAGCCGAGGGTCCTAGCTGCATCATGTTGAACAACAGCTGTCACATCTCTCACAGATAAAGAACTTTCCAACAAATTATTGATAATTTGTTCAGTGTAATATCTTCACTCACATCAGCAGAAGAAGAGTTCACTGTAAACTGTAAATTCATACCGAGTATGTTTAAATTCAATCATATTAAAGTTGAAAACCAAAAACGTGAGAAATCTCAGCAAACTCAAACAAACATGTTCATGAGGAAAAGAATGAGGATTCATGAGCATGAACAGAGAGGGCTTCATTGTGCATGGAGGTGTGTCACACTCCTATTGGTGAAGGGTTCTGCTGCATAATTACATCATCATGCAGTGGTTCAAATTCATAGGTTTTCACATGAGATTAGGTGGGAGTTTTCACAAGGCTGGTGGCTACCAAATCTCTTTGGCAGATTGTGAGAACTCAAGAGTTAAATAAGTTAATCTGTATGAGGCGGTAAGTATTCACTTGGGAAGCACTTTTCTTCCTTCTTTGATTAGTGATAAATTGTCTTAAATGACATATGTTTGTTCTACTGAACAGCCCATTAGTTGAGCATTAAATTGTTTGAAGACAATTGTTTAAAGCAATGCCTAGTAATTGTACGTATGAAATAACAACTAATCTTTGCCACTTCATAATTTTTTTTGTCTTACAATATTTTCTTAATTTTGCAAGGCCTTATATTTATATAAACATTTCTAAAATAGTGTAACATACCTAACATACTTACTAAATTTTTGTGTCAAACAGGTAATATAATTTTACCTCTTACAAAGACAATCACTATATTGTTGTTTTTACACATGTATATAATTTAAGACTTTAATGAAGGACAGACTTCGATGTTTAAATTATGGTAAATCCTTCAGAGAACCAAATTTCCAAACTTCGATACTACTAATTAACAATTTACTGATGATGCCACCACAACAAATAGTTTATATTTGGTTGAAATGGTACTAATGATAATCCATAAGACATTTACATGTAGTTTAAAAATGTTATATTAAACCATAATCATGTTTTTGAGATGTATGTCATCTATGTACATGTATTTGATACTACATGTAGTACTAATAGCGACATTCAGTTAGCTTGACTAGCATGAGTACCGTATCAGAGCCAATTAAAAGTCATTGTTCCAAGCAGGCTAACAGACTGATAACACTATTGATTAAACATAGCTAATAAACACAATAATTAATAAACAGTAAAAGAGAAAATCTAACAGATCAATTAGAAAATAAATACAGACCAACTACCTAAAAAAGCTACAAGTCATTTATTATCACCCAGTACATTAATGGGAGTAAGGAGTGGCAGGAATACTACACATTAATGGGAGTAAGGAGTGGCAGGAATAATAAGCATTAATGAATGTACCAACCTTTACATTCTAATGGTACTAATGATGGGAGAAGAAAAAACACTAATAAAGGTATCGACCTTTACATATTAATGTTCTCACTAAACTCTCATTTCTAAACCTGTATACAGTTATATCCTACAGTACTGTGACTAAATTATTATTTGGACACCTGTATACATTTATATCTTCCTACAATACTGTCACTAAATTATTATTTGAACACCTGTATACATTTATATCTTCCTACAATACTGTCACTAAATTATTATTTGGACACCTGTATACATTTATATCTTCCTACAATACTGTCACTAAATTATTATTTGGACACCTGTATACATTTATATCTTCCTACAATACTGTCACTAAATTATTATTATTTGGACACCTGTATACATTTATATCTTCCTCCAATATTGTCACTAAATTATTATTTGGACACCTGTATACATTTATATCTTCCTACAATACTGACTGAAGGTGGAGATATATTTTATACATATGTCCAAATAATAATTTAGTGACAGTATTGTAGGAAGATATAATGTATACAGGTGTCCAAATAATAATAATTTAGTAACAGTATTGTAGGAAGATATAAATGTATACAGGTGTCCAAATAATAATAATTTAGTAACAGTATTGTAGGAAGATATAAATGTATACAGGTGTCCAAATAATAATAATTTAGTGAACTGTCAATAAATTTTCATTAGTAAATGTGTATACATTTTTATCTTTTCTTATAAAAGCACTCAATTCTTGTTTCTAATCCGGTATACTTTATAAGCTTTTATTACAGCTAAAACGGAATATGTTTTAGTTGTTATTGAATATTTTCAACATTTTGTAGGTTATAAACTCACGGTTTGATGGGTGGGACAACAGCTGAATTAGGCAACAAGATGTCATGACAACGAAGTGGCTTTTTCCAGCTTTTTTCTTTTCCAGGATCTGGAATTGTAAATCATTTTATTATCCAATAAATGTGTATATTCTGTACTGATCTTTTTTCTATTCTTATTATTTGTAGGAGTTTTCCAGATAGAATCTGAATTATAATTCTTAGAAAGGATTATAAAACCTTTTTAATGTTGAATTGGTACACTTGTGTCAGGACACAACAATAAAATTTGATACTTAGTACCTGTATTAGTAATCAAAGGGATTATCTAATAACAACAGACTGCATGGACAGAACAGGGTAAGCAATCAAGAACTGAGTGAGAATAATGATGAGAAATAAATGGGAGAGATACAGCATTGAACATGCTGTCACCCTCACATGTCACGGATGTTTTAGGTAGAAACACACGATCAGGAGAAAGAAGAGCATACGAGTGTTGAAAAAGAATGCAGGATGAATTGGTGGCATACATGTTAGAATGTCAATGAACATAGGAAAAAATGGAGGAGGAAATAGGTTTTAAGAATAGGAAACCAAAGTTTCTAAGGGCGGAAGGGAAAGGGAAAACAACATTCAGGTCCCAGTTGGGAAGGCAAGAAGAATGGGTGCAATAAAAGTGCAAGGTATGGAAGAGCAAAGCGATAAGTGGGGAGAAACAAACACAATGGTAATGGGAAAATTGGAAAGTAGTAGAAAGAGCTGCCTGGTAACCAGCAATGGTTGATAACAATAAACCTTGTTTGAAAAGCCATGTGAAAAACCTTGAGAGATATGAAACAGAAGGATGAGTAAAAACAATGTAGTGACCAATGGTAAAAAAATGCCATTTCCACTGGTAGATAAAGAAGGAGATTGGTTGAACAGAATGGGAAAGAACAAAGGCTACACACAAAGAATGTAAAGCAAGTAACCAAACAAATCCCATGTGTGAAGTCTGATGACAATATGACTGGATGGAAGAGAGAAGAATAAGGTTAAAGAAGAGCCTAGGAGAGAGAAAGAGGAAGACTGGAGAAGGCTCAACCAAGAAAATCATGTTTAAGTAAGTCAACAGGATGCCATAAGGAGTGTTCTGAATGAGGGATGAGACAAATAAGGGTAAGAAAGAGAGAGGTTAAAACAGTTCTGACAGAATGCATCCACTGCCAGAGCTGATCGATGTAGAAGAGGATACCAAAAAAAGGTGAAGAGCAGTGTTGTTGGAAGTGGTAAAACCAATGATGAGAACTGAGGAGCCACTTCATGAGAAAATTATTGTCTGGCCTCAAGAATGAAGAGACTATCTGTGACAAGACTTAAGGTACCAAGAACATGATAAGCCACCAGTCAGAAATGTAGGGAATGATCCCAGAAGAGGAGGTTGCAAAATGAGAGAGCTAAACCAAATTTGATATCTGAAACTGCAGTTGAGTTGTCCACATGGTTCATAATCAAATGGCCACATACTACTGGAAGAAAATGATCCAAAGCTGGACAAACTGCCAAGAGATTAATATGAAAGGTTGATTCTTCTGGGAACTAATGGCAGGGTTCTTGCACTTTCAGGCAAAAATGTTCCATGACTTTTCTAGGACCAAGTCCCAAAATTTTTTTTTAATGGAAGAAACACATATCCAATATCTCAATTCATTAGAGTAACACATATACTCTCAAATGTTGATACAAAGACATAATGGCTAACATATATGATTGATTTCATCAGCACAGCTAGTTCAGCTGATCTGAGTAAGGCACCTTTTGTAAGAACACACCAGGTACCTATCTCTACTGTTTCTGTTTCCTCCTCTGTTTTCTTCAATGTGGCTTCCTTTTCTTTAGCACTACCCATCATGGCATTAGTATTTTGCTACAAGGGTAATGTTACTTGTTCATTCTGCAGTTTCAACCTTTTCACGAGCATCAGACGGAAATGCTTTCATGTCTTCTTCTACAAGTAACTTTTTTTTCACGATTCCAACAGCTTTCCTTTTTTCACACTGCTGGACTTCTTTTTTTGCTGCTTCCTTTTCCAAGTACCTTCTGTAGCATTGTCTAGCTGATGAAACTACTGTCAGTAGGTCTTTTGATAGGGAAACATTACAAACTCTCGAACATTACAATAGTAATAATTTATCAACCTTCTTGCTACAAGTGAATTTTGTTTTTTATTCTCCACTACTAATACTTTGTTTACAGAAAACCCATGCTCAAAATCTTCTGCGAAAGCTAAGTGACAGAGGTGATGTCCAGTGTTGATGTGGAGGTTTGTTGTGAAAACCATTCTATCTAGTCTGAAGAAGAAAGCTAAGTGACAGAGGTGATGTCCAGTGTTGATGTGGGGTTTGTTATGAAAACCATTCTATCTAGTCTGAAGAAAGCTAAGTGACAGAGGTGATGTCCAGTGTTGATGTGGAGGTTTGTTGTGAAAACCATTCTATCTAGTCTGAAGAAAGCTAAGTGACAGAGGTGATGTCCAGTGTTGATGTGGGGTTTGATATGAAAACCATTCTATCTAGTCTGAAGAAGAAGGGAAAGCTAATTGAAAGGTGTACTTCAGTTCAAACATGTTTGCCAAAGTTTTCTCATCAATGTTACAAAGAAGCTTATGGAAAAATTTTGAGTCAACTACCACTTAGTTTACACTTCTACTTGGTTGAATCCTGCACTTATTACATTTCAGCCAATGAACTACCCTGTCAACCTGTCTAAAATTACTTGTTGATGCTGGTCAAGTAGACTTGTGCCAAAGTGACACAATTATCAAAGAGTTCCAACTTCTCAAGGACAGTTCATGAAGCAAAGGTTCCCCAGTGTTCTGCAGATTCTGACAGGCTAGATAGGTTTTACTCTGCACTTGAAGGAAAATCTCAGTACAAACATCTTTGAGTTGTCATCAAGTTAATATTGAATTCAGACTAGATAGAATGGTTTTCACAACAAACCTCACATCATAAAAAAAGTAATTGACTTGTACTTTGGTCCTTTTGCTACAGACGTATTCTGAATGTGTTACTTTTCTGACATGAGACTGTCCACTGCAACTTTACCCATATTAATGTGTTACTTTCCTGACATGAGACTGTCCACTGCAACTTCACCCATATTAATGTGTTACTTTCCTGACATGAGACTGTCCACTGCAGCTTTACCCATATTACTGATATCAGAAGATTTGTCACAGATGAAACATCTTGATTTTCCAGGGTCTTTCTGAATCCAGTCACCATGGTCAGGATTAGTTATCTACATCATACGAAATGTGTAATTTCCAGACATTATTAATATCAGTGGCAACTGTTACAAAAAAAGAACTGCGAAAAAATATGTTTTCCTTTGGGCATTTGGCCATTCAGAATGTCATTTTTATTTGTTTAAAATAATAGGAATGTCTTGACAGTAACATTTACATTGTAGGTTCTAGGTAGGCCTGGCCTACATTTAACAATAATACGATATTATACTTATGTCTAGGCTACATAGCACAGGACAGTGCCTACAGTATATCACCCAAACCTCAACAGTCCACCAAAGGCCCTAGTCAAAGACTAAATGTACCTATGCTAGGCTAGCATATACCTAGTTGTCTTATTCTAGGCTACATCACTCTGAAGAAAAAAAAGAAATTTCAGCTTTATAAGTAATACATAAGCCCAACAGTTAAAGAGTTATTGACACTATTTTAATGGTAGTGGAGCCTTATGTTATCAATGGGCAGTGACATCGAGATCCTGGGCTCCCCATACAAATTGGAGTGCCCTGTGCAAACTGCCTAAGTTATGTGCCCCTTCCCTGAAGTATCTGATAATTTATCTGGATGTTACTAATGATGTTATCACTACGATGTTGAATAACCCCCAATTGGAGTACCCCCTAGTGAAAATATAATATGCAGCCAAAGGTCAAGTGTCCCAGCAGTTAACACTGCAAGTCCTATAAAAACCTGACTCTTTCTAGAACATTCCACTGACACAAAATGAAGACTTAAAATATTTTAGTTAATAATCATAACTGGTCTTCAAATACATGTAATTTGTCCCAACAAAACTTCTACATTTTGAAGTTTTGGCAGCCTAGTAACTCTAAAGTTATAGGTGATCATTTTGGATATCATGTACCAATGTTTGTTTTAAGCATGCATATATAGTACACTCCTTCATACCTTTGAACTTGTTTATTACATAGGCAAGGCTCTAGAGCAAACAGCTGAGGGTCATGGTATAAATTTCAGCATGAGACCTCCTGAATCATCAATCTCTGTAACCGAGACAGAGTGCGATTTTGCCAAAATATGACAATTTCAAGTTTGTTTCTGTTCTATTCTTTGCAAAATTTCATGACTTCAAGAATTTTTATGAAAGTTATGACTTTTATAGGTTTTCCATGACCACAGAAACCCTGCAATGGCCCTTATTGTCAATGTAGAAAAGATAAGGGAAGGAGTATCCACCAAAAAACCCAAGGTGGATTGCTTCAAAAAAAGAGTCAAAGTGTGGAAAAATAACAAAACAGGTCAGGGAGAGTAAGATGAAGGCATGAAATTTGGACCTGAGAAACACAAACAGAAAACAGAGGATTTTAGTCTCAAGCCTGAAGAAACTCCAGAGTTTGGGAGACCAAGAAACTGAATACAGCCCAATGTTAAGCCAAGGCATATGTGGCAACCAGGCAAGAAGGATGAGACATGCCTATACAAGAGCACTTAAGAAAGTCACATGTTCATTCTTAGTGACTCCAGACTGGTATAATAACCACTTGAAGAAAGTCACTTGTTTATTCTTAGTGACTCCAGATTGGTATAACAACCACTTAAAGAAAGTCACATGTTCATTCTTAGTGACTCCAGACTGGTATAATAACCACTTGAAGAAAGTCACTTGTTTATTCTTAGTGACTCCAGATTGGTATAACAACAACTTGAAGAAAGTCACATGTTCATTCTTAGTGACTCCAGACTGGTATAACAACCACTTAAAGAAAGTCACTTGTTTATTCTTAGTGACTCCAGACTGGTATAACAACCACTTATATAAAGTCACATGTTGATTCTTAGTGACTCCAGACTGGTATAATAACCACTTAAAGAAAGTCACATGTTGATTCTTAGTGACTCCAGATGTGTATAACAACCACTTAAAGAAAGTCGCTTGTTGATTCTTAGTGACTCCAGATGTGTATAACAACCACTTAAAGAAAGTCACTTGTTTATTCTTAGTGACTCCAGACTGGTATAATAACCACTTAAAGAAAGTCACTTGTTTATTCTTAGTGTATCCATTCTTAATTAATAACTTCAAGTTTTCTCAACTTAGTAATCTTTTGATATGCATAACCTATGTTCACAATCATACAGTTTTTATTTATGTTGTACAAGACTAATTAAACTGCTACACATAATTAAATGGCCCATCTTTAAATGAAAAACAAATTTCATACAAACAGTCACAATAAATATTTATAATTTCTTACAAGATACTTCTATAAGCCTCTTGTCAGTGTACCAAAAGTTAACTTTATAGAATAAAAGATTAATGTTATTCACATTTTCCTTAATACTGACGTGTTCAACTTACTTTCTTGTGGATTATTCTTTTTGTGAAGATAAAACAAAGCTTCGTCTGGTTTTTCAGATACTGGACCACTGAAAGGAGAACACAATTAAGGTGAGTGATTAATGGGGAACAACAAAATACCCTGCAAGTTTGAAAATATTACTTCTATAACACACAAGGAAAGCATGCACACAAATTGAACTCAAAAATGCAACATTTATTAAATTGTAATTGCCAACATTGTATGTGTTTCAAGAAACATTGGTTTTCAAAAGTTGATTTTGTGGCTATGCTGAAATGCAGAAATAATAGATGTTAAGTTTAGTTTCCATGATTAATGAACCTGTCATGATTAAGATAATACATCATTTTTTCTAGTGTCATGTTTGTAGTTGCCTAGAACCAATGAAACAAACTTAACATACCATTTAATGTTAAAAACAAAAGTTATCTACTTTTAAAACAGGTGCTGGTGCATTAAAAATCTATTATAACAAAAATGTTAAAATTCTACTATGACAAGAATTACCACTAAATCTTACAACAGAAATCAGTGAATAATACTGTTACAACAATGGAAGTCACACGATGCTAGTAACATGTCATGAGATTCTAGAAGGATCTTGTCTGTTCGTGGTACTCTAGTCTTCTCTACGCATCCTCTATTCTTGTATACAAGTGCGCCAGATAAAGCGAAATTAATTAATCAGAATTGAATTGCAGACAGGCAGAGATAGAGACGGACAATTGAGTCAAGCGGGGTAGAAAGTAAAGTGCATGAATCGTTCATTGTGAATTATAGCGTGTGTTTAAGTTAAAATGACTGTGGAAAGTCTGTGTATTGCAAAGTTGTATTGAGAAAGAATAAAGTAGTTTAATTTAAGAAAGGACTTGTATCGCTGAAGTTTCTCGGGAACAAACGAACTGAGACGTAACAATACTCTGTATTCCAAATCATCAAAATCTCATTTAATAAGTTAATACACTATGAAACATTAGCATTAATACAACAGAAAATCTAGCTTTAAACTTTAAACCTCACCATAATTGGACATTATCATTTATACCTTCCTTTCTAACAAGAGAGGTAGCCATACATTTCTGTTGTAGATTAATGACCATGCTGAAAAGTATACCAATTGCAGTGGCAGATGTCTATGCAACTTTTATATCTCCAATAACACGTGACATGATGTTTTGTACCATTTGCTAAATTTTATTATTACTAAGAGTACAGAGTTCCAACTAATGCCACTGCAGAGCAAGGACAATGTATCATACAACAACTACATAATGTCATAAATAAACATATTTTGAAACAAACAATATGTGCACGTTGCCAATCGGAATTAGTTCAAAGTCCAAAGAGGAGAACTTGTAATATTAATTCAAAAGTTTTGACAAATATGTGCTGATAAAGCTCTGTCAAACTCAAAAAGATCTCAAAATCAATACTTGCAAGATGAAATTATTTACTATATCAAATAATACCTTGTGTTATATAATCCTTTTTTCGTACAATATAACTCAAATATAAGGTTTTGTCTGACGTGTGATACCAAATTTATACTTGCCACTTGGTGCATCCCGCAATTCTACAACTTTGTTTTAATAGACAGTCCAAAGTTATACCACCACCCCCATAAAATAGATAAAAATAAACTATTTCCATAAAGGCGTAACATTGACAAAAACCATGGCAGCACGTAAAATTAAGAAAATAAATAAATAAATCGCCGTATACATAGAAAAGTGATACAAACAGTTAAAACTTAAAACTAAATGCTACAACTTAGCAATACTAGTTACAAACAGGGTGAACGTACATACATTGCTAGTATATTTGTGTATTGGCTCAAATAATCATATAGAATACATAATGTAAAATTTACCCTGTCTTTTCTTCTACTCGCTTTTCTTCTAAATAATCCTCTACTTCTTTTATATCAACATGTTTTCGCCAAGACTTCTTTTTATTTTTATTCACACGTGCCTTCCTATTACGAACAGCACACGCTGCCATTTTAACATGAGCGACATCTACACAACGTGAAACTTCTGATTGATTAACATTTTGTCTTAATTAATATGTATAATATAGCAGTAAGCTGATGCAATTTAGTTTTGAAAACATGTATGTGTGGTAGAAGTAAATAACAAAAGAAAATATTTATCATTTAAAATTTTGTTTATCTTTTGCTTCGTGTCATATTGTAACTGTTAGTTTACTATGAAATTATTTAAGTTACAGTTTTCCAAAATACTTTGTGAATTTAAAAGTAAGAAATAGATCCATAAAACAAAATTATTTAGCAACAGACACATAAATTCTAAAAAATAAGTAATTGGACATTATTGTTGCATAAAGAGAGGGGATGGGATTTATTTATTCATTTTGTAAAATATATTTTTATTTCTATTTTGATTATAAGTTTGATTTTCAATGTTATAATTTAAATGTTTGTTTTCTCAAAGGAGCTCATCATTCCTAAATGATGATGACGCAGTATCTAAAGTTTCATTGAAGTTACGAATCTAGAATTTTCTTGCATTATACACAAATGAGAAAATAATATTAATACCGGAATCAGTGAAGAAGTGAGTTAACGGTTTAGTTAGATCAGTGACAGTTAGACGGAATTTTTGCATCTGTGATTCAGTTAGAGTTAGACAGACGGTTAGTGTGTCTGTGATTAAAATATTTCAAGTAAAAATATAGGAAAGTAAGAAATACGTTACTTTTCGGAAGTTATGTTAAACGTTATTTAAGCCCTTTTATTTGAAGTTCACCCTACAAGTATACATAGCCTATAAAAAATGTTATTTACGTTTTAAAGAAATATATTAATTTCTTGTAATAAAAAAGAACCTGACTAACGATAGAATATTGTTACGACAGCGGAAGTTTCTCGATAGATCATGAAGGCCCGAGTGCATTCAAGCCGCCCTCTTTTTAATATATAAGCCTGGTGAGAAAAAACAAGTCCGATCGGCAGATAGATTTAAGAGATAGATAATTGAGTCAAGCGAACAGTATGCACCGTAAGTAAAGTGTGTGAATCACTATAATTTATAGCGTGTGTTGTAAAGGTTGTTAAGTTTAAAGTGACTGTGGAAATTCTGTGTATTAACAAAAGATGTATTGAGAAAGAATAAACTGGTTTAATCAAGAAAGGACTTGTATCGCTGAAGTTACTCGGAAATAAGTTGTAACGAAAATTAACAAACAAGAAGATACCCAACAAATTGGTGTCTGGAGTGGGATAAAAAAGAAAAGATGGAAACGAAAAGTGGCAAATCAAATTACAGATAATCAATTAGCAGATTTTATGGTAGCAATACAAGAACAGCAAAAGAAACAAGAAGAACGAGAAAAGAAACAAGAAGAGAGATTACAGCAGTGGTTGGAGGAGAAAGAAAAGAAACAAGAAGAAAGACAACGGCAGTGGCAAGAAAACCTGCTACTGTGGCAGCTCGAACAGCAAAATAAACAAGAGAGATTACAACAATTGTTGGAGGAAAAAGAAAAGAAACAAGAAGAACGAGAAAATAAACATGAAGAGAGACTACAGCAGTGGTTGGAGGAGAAAGAAAATAAACAAGAAGACAGACTACAGCAGTGATTGAAGGAGAAAAAAATTAACAAGAAAAGAGACAACAGCAGTGGTTGGAAGAGAAAGAAAATAAACAAGAAGAAAGACTCTAACAGTTGAGAGAAAGCCAGCATACAAAAATAGAAAAGATTAGTAAATTTCAAAGTAAATTAAATACATTAAAGGACGATTTACTGTTTTTCACACAGGAAGGATACATTAACCATGAACCTAATCAGCCCCAGACAACAGGAAACCCCTTCCAGACCTTGCAGCTAAACCCTAATGAAGATTGTGTGGACCAGTGTGGGTAACTATTGAGCTCATGGGCATAAAGGACAGACACAA